GATGCATATACTCCTTAATTCATACTCCCTGCTTCTCAGAAGCTTGAGGTTTGTTATCTCAGCATTCGTGGACATGATATTCAGCCAAGGAAATGGCTCTCTGCTGTTCTTTTATTTCTGAATTTCTTAGTGTTTTGTCAGTGGTGGTGGTGATGTTGGTTTTAGAGTACCTTTGGTTGTTAGAGATTGCAATTACCAAGATGGTTTGCAGTTGAAATGCTACATGTATATAGGCAGGAAGACAAAAGGCTCTGGTTTCAACATATGGTACACCTTGTTATAAATGAATGAGCTTTCTGGACATGATTTGTAGACTTGGAAGGTTGTAGCTAAATGTTAGAGAGAGGAGTCAAAAGTATTTGTGTCTAAGTTATAAATCTCATCAGCTTTTCGTGATGTTTCCGATGCACGTCTGTTAATAGAAATGGACTCTGATAAAGTGATTGAGGATGAATGCACACACATCAGTTCATTTCTTTGCTCCACAAGACGATATTCTAAAGATTTTGCCCCAAACCTTACTCGTGACATTTCTTCAAATGCTTCCCTCCACATTAAACATCTATCTGAGACTTTAAAGCCATTACCCAGTTGTTAATTTCTGAAAAATCTGATTCAGACTCAGAGGTAAGAGAACCAAGATAGTTATTCATTTGTACACTAAGGTTAAAATAAGCTTATTTATCCTCTGTTCTCTCAAGAAATTTCCCAGAAATCCACTTTACTTCTGTTTATGTTCCAACTTCATTCTTTTTGCTAGAAGTTTTTCACTTTTGGAGCTAGTGGCTTACCTATGCCATGGTACAGATGACTCAGTCATTTGAGCAGATATTTTCTTCTTTATTGTTTACATATATTTTCTATATTTTTAGAAATCCAAATGATTCCTGACCAGCTTATTTTGTAAATGAAAATATCACCTCTAATAACAACATTCAGAAAAGGGCAAGGTATCAGTAGGTTTAATGTATTAAAGCTTAAGTTGTTGGCTATTGGTCTAAGTAAGCCTTTTGACAAGAAGATGATAATTCTTCTCCAGCATATGTAGATTTTGGAGGAAAATAGCTGGAAAGGAACAGTTTAGAGAGGCTGTTACTTTTATTGCAAAATACTTGAATTAACCCTTTTCCTCATAATCTGCACACTACTCCAAAGAGAGCATAGTATCAAAATTCATTTCTTTGCCTCTAGAGAAGCTCTTTGCATACTCTTTTGCATATTTCATTGTCTCTTTAAACTTCTGCCATGTGGAAAGTGGATCTTGATGTATGTTCCTAACAGTGCTTTTTCTCACATAGCTATATAAACTAAGATAGATAACCTGAAATTTCTACAGAGCGCACACCAGCTACTTCACTGTAGGTGAAGAATCCACTTTTCAGAGTTATGTTTTTCTAAGAACAGTGTAGCTCCCAACAGGAGAGGTAGCTGCTATTCAGAATTTGCCTTTTTCCACTACCATTCATGCTCCTGGCGTTCAGAAAGATCTCATTTCCAAATTGAACAAGCATCAGCAATCACTTACATGGACCCCTCAAAAGGAAATTTGAATGGAGATTCATACTGTCACTCGGGTCAAATAGGGAGTCACCTATTTCTGCCAGGGAAAAGCAGACCATCAGTCACAGAACTGCAGCTAGCCTTCCTTTTGCAGGCTCTTGAAATGAATTCCCATGGCTGCTGTCAGGTGAACCCATTACAAGCTTCTCATAGAGGGCATCTTGCCCATTGAAACAGCATCACCTTGGTTAAAGAAGGAACAAATGAACCATTGCCCTGGATAATGATTATTTATTACAGATGTATGCATCTATGTAGTTAAGTGTCTGAGAAAGGGCCAGCTGGGAGGCAAATGCTTACTTCAGGTATCAGAAGAGAATATTCCTTCAGTGGACTCAGCAGTGAATATGCCATAACACTAGCTTAATTAAATCACTGAATAATCTTAGAAATTGAACTGACTAATTAAAAGTTGTGTGGAAACTGTCAGATGCTACTTCTAAGGACCAAATATATACTATGGAAATGAAATTGATAAGATATGCCATACCCTGAATTTACAGAAGACAGCAAGACATTGCAGAAACTGAAATCTATTGATCATGCTGTGTAGATGAACAGCTAAAAAGAAAATCCGGGCCACACAAATTATTGGTTGAATTCTCTTTTATGTTTTAAGAAGCTAATAATTATTATATAAATGTGAGGACTTTCAGACATTGCCTAAGATATCTGCAGAGGACCTGACCAACGGGAGCTCAAATATTCGGATGTACAGGAAGTGGTATTCTATGGATGAGAAACTAATATCTGTGTTCAGTTCAGAGTCCAATAAAACAAAGCAACAGAGGATGACAGGTACAAAATTTCTTGTCTGTGCTAGTGCTACTTTGCATCATCCTGTTAAAATATATACAAAAATATGGAATTGAATACTAGGTCAAGATGCAGAAATATAGAAGATATAAATTATTGCTAAGTAAGTCAATAACACAGAATTATGTGCTCTAGAACTTTTGCAGAAGAGCATTATTCTTCCCTTGTCATGTCAAAAGGTAGAGTTATTTTTCTTTCCAAACCTAGAAATGCACTGCTGCAAATCACTTTTTCCTAAAGTAAGTTGGATTGATTGGACATAATACAATATTAATCTTCTTCTTATCATTTACCAAGAGTAGCTGGAAAACATTACGTCCTAAATGCCACGTACATTATAAGAACTTGTGCAGAGGAAATATGTTCTTTTTCCTGGGAATGTTTACTTGGAAAGAAGACACCCTAGATTCGGTTTTACTATTCTGCTTTCAGTAGCAACAAGCCAGATCAGATGCATGCATGTCCTAGTTGTATAGAATATGTTTCTCTGGGTTGTGTATAAATTTCCCAACCAAAAAACAAAGAAACAAAACAAAGAACAAAACAAAAACCAACCAAAAAAAAAATAATAAAAAACCACCAACCTAAGGTGATCTTAATTTATTCCATTCTTTATATTGATTGTATAATTTTTTACCATCATAGCATTTTGAACAGAGTAAAACTTCCAGCTGGCAGTTTAGTTCTTAGAAAAAGGAAAGCCTCTGGAGAAATACTGAAGAACTGGATTAGCAAATGGTATTTTTAAATTCTGGAATAGCTGAACATACAGAGGTGAAGCGAAATAAAGAAATTTGTCCTAGGCTGAACAGAAAGTGACTAACAGCATGTCACAGACTTAACAGTAGTGCTTCAGAAAGGCAAGTTCATAATGTTTAACTTGCTACTGATAAGTGATTTACAAAAACTGAATAATATTGTTTGTCCCATCATAAATACTGCTGGACAGTATCTCATGCTTCCTCAAAACTAAAAATAAGAAAAATCCCTTTATGTTTTTGATTCCATACCACAGTTGTTTCCAGACATTACTTAGCCTATTAATGTGACATAAGGTTGTATGAAATCACGTTAAATGCATGTCATTGTTTTAAGGAACAATTTAAATTAAACATAGAACCAGATTACTTCAGCCAAACTGTATAATGAACACTTCCTTCCTTGCTGTGCCAAATGATTCAAAGATTCCTTCTGTAGTACCTCTGCCAGTGTTTAACTCTAATATTGATGTGCTTATGAATTTACTTATTAGTTAGTTTACAAGTTGCCTGGAAGGTGCTCCTCAAAGTGCTGGAGATTGACTTTTGGGAGTAACTCAACAATAAGGAAGTAACAGTGTATTTGTTGCCTTAATGAGATTGAGACTTAGTTTCTGGTAAATGTACAGTTGAGTGACTTGGCCATTTATCAAATGAAGATGGGGAATTGGAGGTGCCTGGAGGATAGAACTGCTCATAGTGGAGAGTGGTTGATATGATATGGTTATGAATCAGGAAATAAGCTGTTAACATAGAAGGAGCTGAAGGCAGAATATTCAACGTTTCAGAGCAATGAATGACAGGTGACTTTGCATTCAGTCTTCTCATATGGACACCATAAAATATAATTATCATGGTTTCTAATAACTTATCAAAAAAGTGATTCCTTCCCTGAATGCCCTTATCTCAATACAAGACCAAAGTTACAGACTCTGCTACACAGGAAAGGTTTCTACAACTTAAAAAAAATATATGTCAAGTGTGGAAGAGACTTGATCATCTTCTGAATGCAGACTATGAAATTTATGCTACTCCACTTTGGTTAGAAGTTGGATTTAAATTTTTTGTAATTGCTAAAGAAACTGTAGTAATTACAATAATGAGTGTGTCAGAGGTAAAAATGATGATGATGATGATGATGATGAACAAATGAAGTTCATTTTATGTGTTTATGTGTTTTATCGCTGAACAACAGAACCAAGCACTGGCATTACTTTCTGTTGAGAATACCAGAGGTCTTTTCATACAAAAGATAAAAACAGGCAAGGAAAAATCTTCAAATAAATACTCTGATTTTGGACTTTGAAGTCCTAGGTAAAACAGCTAGCTGGGTTTAGCTGAAAACCATAGTGAAAGGGATACGAGAGAGCCAATGGACATGTAAGACAAGTAGACCTCAGCTTGCTTTTGTTTAAAAAAAAAAAAAAAAAAGGCAAGGAAGATTGTCAGACATGTCAGACATAACAATAGAGAAACGGTTGAACTTCTGGGAACCCAGATGGTAAAATAATGAATTTCAGATAAAAAAAAAAAAATAACGATTAGAGCCAATTGCTTTAATAGGGATAATTATAATAATATAGGATTATTATAATAATAAACGAAGAACTTCTCTCCGAAACTCCATTCAGTCCGCTTTGAACTGATTTTTACAGAGAAGCTCCCACGGTGGATGTCCTTAGAACATCTTTTAAAAAATTCACTGAAAGCTTAGTAAGTTGGACATAATTTTTTCTTCAGTGAACTTACCAGGAAATAAAAATACCTTATGTCCAGGGGAAAAAATGTTAAATTCCTTTATTTTTTACTTCAAATTTGCTATCATTTCTATCTATTCAGTTATGAAAACATTACACATTAACGATATTTTATTATTCTTTGTTTTTTTATTCTGTGCAAATAGGACTAGAAGTGAAGTTCTTTTTAGTTCAGTGTTATTGACAATCTAATTTATCTGAGGTATGTTTCTTGAACAGTCATTGTTCCCAGCTTGTGTACTTTGGTCATTGTACTATTTGCATTCCTTCTGTATAACCTTTACAAAACTCTGTATAAATTCTGTAAAATTTTTCTCTTCGTATTCTTCACATTCTTTGCATTTTTTTGATGTTGTGGAATTCAACTGAAAAAGAAAATGCAATAGTAAAGTGAGATACTTTGTCTGTTTGTTCTGATAGAGAACTAACCCTTTTAATTCTGTTTTTGTCAATAGTTCCAACGCAGTCAATTGCAACAGAAAGCACTGCTGGAGTCTTCTAAGGTATTCATGTTTTGTTCCTGGCTTGATTTCTGAATAGGATCACCTTTCAAGGATATAGTGCTTCAGTGAGAGGTTTAAGTCACCTATCCCTTTGAAAATTGTGACACTTCTCTATTTGCGACTAAACAAACCCAAGTTTAGATACTGAAGTTACAAACTATTATTTATATATACACATTCAAACATTAATGTCTGCATGTCACAAGTATTTTCTTTGATATGAGTCCTGGGAGTGTTTTTCTACAATCACCAAATACTGCTCTATCCTTTTTATGTGTGTAATTTTCTCAGTATTATGTGCATGGGTTACTGGCTGATTCCCCTTTGGTTTCATATATACCATCTTGCCTCTTCCAGATTATGAGAAACAGAATTTTGAAGATTTTGAAGAAACACTTCTCATTTCCGTTTTATCCACAGACTTTTGGTTTTATTTACCTGGTTAGTTTCAAATCTCGCATTTCCATTTTTCCATATGTTGAATACATCCTGTGTTCTACTACATTTTTTGATATTACATTCATGAAGAATCACTTTCATCTCTAAAAAAAAGCATCTCATTACGGGTTCCTGGCATTCTTTCTGGAAAAAATAATAATAATAATAGGAAGTTGTAGCAGTTTTAAGATTAAAATGGGGTAAGTGAATGTGGGATATACCAGAAACTGGTGATTTTTATTTACTTCATATCTGTTATTACTATTCCAAAACTTTTAAGTATCTTCAAAAATTAACTAAGAACAAATATATGACACAGGCTAGCCAATTTCCTACGGCAAAGTGAAGCACTATGTCTTGACATAGAACACAGGAAAATAATAATTAGGATGGGGATATGGGAAAGAATTAACACTAATGGAATTAAATTAATATTCTGAGTAGTTCTAGCACTTATACTTAGAGATCATTATTCAGAATAATGGAGAGTGGAGGAGAAAAAATAAAGTAGATATTACCCATATTTTACAAATTAAGAAACAAAACCCCAATGACACACCATTTTTTTCTACAAGTCAACAATAAAACCAAGAACAAGCCCCAAGTTGTCTGATTTTCACACTAAGCCTTTCCACTTTAAGAAAATCTTTCAGACATTACCAGCTATGAAATTGGCCTTTATAGTATATTAACTTCAGTGACTCGTTTCAGTCAAAAGAATAGGTGTGTGAGTATGGACATGTATGTTCTGCAGCTTTTTTTCCTACTGTGTACAGGGCTAACTGCACAGACACATCAGAGTCTGCTTTCTCAGGCTTTTTAGGTCCACTGAATGCATCAGTGTTACTGTATTCTGCATGCACACTGAGATTATTTTGCATGGATATAGTAAGTCCATTATTTCTAGGAAATCTCATTAACTCTGCATACAGGAATCATGTATTACGTGCATTTGGCACAGTCACTGTGTGAATGTTTATGCTGTCAGGCTGTCTCAGGAGCAGGCTACTGTCAACTTCACCACAGCAGTGAATCCAGCTCATGTTGCACCAGGGAGGACCATGCTAAAAGTAACTGCTAGGAGTAGGTTATTGGTTGGATTCATGTTCTTAGAGGATTGCATAGAGTGAAGACTGAATTCCACAGTAGATTATGAAAAAGTCTCTTCAGGAATGAGTTTATGGAAATCACAACTTAGTTAACAATTATAATGAGAATTAACTTAATTTATTGCTTGTAGGATAAATCATAATCTCTGTCAATTATAAGGCTAAATCCTTGATATTACATATTATTTGTTTCTAGGCTGTAAATTGTACTGGCAGATGCTCACAGTTCCTTTCCATATTGCACTTCTCAAGTAAGTAATTTCTTTTCTTGTTATAGAATTCTAGTGCATGGTGTTAAATAATAATCTTAGGAGGTATTTGCTCTGTCACTCCTTCACTTTCTCCAATTACAAATGAGTATCAGCATTATTTTTCAGTGTTTGCTTTGATAAGATCATTTTAGATCATCCCTTTTAGTTGAATAATTTTAATAGCAGCTACTTCAGTAAAATTATTTAGTACCAGCTTACATAATTTATCATAAGTAATTTAATTTGCAGAACTTCCAAAAAAGATTTAGATTCTGAAACTTGTCTCAAATGAGAGCAAGTCTACCATTGGAAAAAATTACTAGTAAAGAAATGAAGTTACCGTATTAGACCAGTCTGAGTCAAATTTTAATTATACTTACATCCTCGTCTGTACTTGCAGTGTATAAACTGACATCAATGTCCTAAAAGGAAACAAGAGTTGTAATTATGAACAATAACTAACAGGCTTAGAAGTAAACACTAGAGCCATGGATTCAAGTTCAACAGGTCAATTAACCCAGGTACTGGAACACAGTGAGATAGTGATCTGAAAGTCACCTAGTAACCTGCAGGATGGGCTAACTCCCATGCCCTCTGCCCCTTTCTTCTTGCTTTATCCAATTAAAGAAATTCTGGAAGGAAGAAAAAAAAAAAGCTTCATTTCCAGTTCCCTTTAGCTTTCTATTCCCTAAATGACCACACAAACAATATCCTACTTCATACTCCTTGTCACTGACTCTCTAAGCTGAGTACCGTGCTAAACGTGGAGTTATGTCTGCTCCTAAGATCGTATGAAATAGTGACTTTTTTTGAACTTACTTCAGATGTCTTGATCTGCTCCAAATCTTTCAGAACTTCTGACCACTTACAGTGATTTGCTTCTGTCTTTGGTACATAAGCACTAGAAGAAAAAAAAGTGACTACTAGGCTAAATAGTAGGGATACACATTGTTTATGCTGAGAAAAGACTCACCAAATATTCAGATACTAAAAATATGTATACATATGTTAATGTGTGGAGCAAGTACATTTGACAACTTGTAAATTCACAGAGCCACACTATTTAAACAGACAAGGGTATTTTGTGTGTGTGTGTGTGTGTTTTAAGCTAGTTTTGTAAGACGTAATGCAAGAGAGTCAATTATTTCTTGTAAATTACCTACAATTCTTTCCATGTATCACAAAAAATAACAAATTTCTATATCTCTTATACTGAATTATTTTTCCTCCCACTACTATGAAATTTCTGTCTTTAGCCCTGTAGAAATATTGTATGTCATTTTACATCTACTTTTTTTTGTGTACAGAAAAGATTCCTCCTGCCCTGAATAAAATTTTGCATGGAGTGAACCACTAAAGGATAGAAAGTAGATTTCTTTATCCTCTGGAAGATTATTGCACTGCGAACCATGATTTTAGTGTATCCTCATTTTGACCCTTCATTTGGATCCCTTTCAGTATTTCTGTGTTATAATGTAAGGAAATGAAAGGAAGACGACAAATTTGGGGAGTTAATATAAAACAAGCAGCTGTTCACCATTTAGGCCTTAAACAAAGGCTGAAAGATAACAAGGTTTTTGGGAGAGAAAAGTAAAAGAGATATTATAACAAGAATCAGAGGACACTTACCCCCTGATTTTTCCATCCAGGAAGACAGAGCAGAAATGTTAGACCTTAGTAAAGAGATTTGACAAGGAGAGAACAAGTAGGGGATGCTGGCACTAGAATCGGGGCCAGTTTTCTAAATGGAGTCAGGAGGAAAATGGAGTCAGAATGGAAGGAAACACCTAATATACATAAACCAACATACATATTTAAACATGTTCATGTTGGTTTTTTCACTGCAAAGGAATATGGAAGTCTTCTAATGCAACAGTTTAAACAACTCAAGAATTATCATGTAAGTAAAGGTTGAGATACATTAACTGGATGGAGCCTGATCAGAGAAAAAAAGGAATAAAGCAAGGGACCATGGCCTAAAGAGAACTCTAGGAGTGCTTAACAAGGCAGGAGAGGAAGCAATTGAAAGCCATCGCAAATAACAACTGTAATAGTAAAAACTAGATAATTTGTATTTACTGTCTCATTAATATTAACTTTGTAGTTACCATAGGAAGAAGATGGTTAGTCCAGTCTTATTCTTTAAAAGGCAAAAGAAATGGCTGTTCAAAAGTAGATACAGTTGATACTGGAGACAAATACTTTTCACGTGTATTTTCTGAAAGATACAACCAAAGAAGATAGTGTGTCATAATTTTATTTCACATAATCCTTTTTAGTACTGACTGAATTAATCAGTTTGGCAAGACATCCAATCTAGGCAAGGCTACCTGTTGTGTGTATACTGAAAGACCAACAGATCTGTAGCTTGTAGTCAGTTTATGAAACAATAGAAAGTCAGATGACATAAAATTACAAACTCATCCTGTTTTCCTATCTGCTCACACTGCAGGCTACTTTAGTGTAAGAATAGTATTAAAGATCTTTTATTCCATTTTCTATCCTGCAGATTTTTCTCCTGCCTGCTTGCCACCCAAATCTTACAAATTACCTACAGTTGTAACATGATCTACAATATTGTGACTGTGTGTATGTGAGGTGCTAGATACACATATGCCCAGTGCTGTATTTACATATATAGACACTAAACTTTTAGACGCAGTAGATATTTATAGTGTAATACCTACTATAGGTACATCTAATACTGGGAAAAGGTTAAACATTTAAAAATTCTTTCATTGGAGTTTGACAACTGGAAATGAGAAGGTGTGAGCTGTTTTATTATGCATTAACTGTTTTATTTTGCACAGGCTGGGAACTTTTGTTCCAGAATTGCAAACCCTTTAATTTGAGCTCATATACGTCTTCTTCACAGAGGTGGGTTAATTATCTGCAACTGTGATTTTGATCCAGTGTTTAATTTCTTATCAAACTATGTTTCTGTCATTGTGGTTGATATCCACACAAATTTACAAGCGCATGTTTAAAAATTGATCAGAGAGCATAATAGAAAAAAAGCTAGCGAATATATTAGAGTGAAAGGCCTATCCATACTTTATTGTCAGGTTTGCTGCTAACTTGCTGCAAGCCGTTTAACTGTGATTAAAGCATTTACTGGCAAGGCTAGGAGAGCAATACTTGCATGTGCCTCAGGGGAGCTCTGAAAAGTACTTGTAACAAGTATTTGTTACTGTTTTAAACAGAAAATACTCTGAATTGTCTTGCTTCCAAAACCAAAAGATTTTGCTGAGATAATATAGTAACCACACCATCACCTAAATTTCCACACTCAGTAACAGCAAGTGGTGCCAGATTCTTGTATTACTTTTGCGTCCAAAATCTGTTATGTAAGAAGTATGTAATTGAAAGGTAAATTCAGTTTCATACCTAATGAAAATATGGCCAGATCAATAATATTTTATCCATCTTCTGAACTATTTCAGTTACCTTTAACCAAAGTATGTCTAACAACAAAGCTGAACCTGTTACTATTTCCACAACCAATGGAAATAAAAAAAATATATAACTATTCAAACCAAAACATTATTAACTAATGCAATAAATACACTTTTAAACAGGACTCATAAAGAAATACGTACAACCTAGCTGTTGTCGAAACACTTGAGTAATTTTATTACAATATAACAGAAAGGCTGCAATCTTTCCACATTGTTTGATCTGATCTTTGTCACGTTTTCTGCAAAAATAACAAAATAACAAAACAAACTCTTTTATTGTTTTTTTTTTTTTTTCATGTGTTCTATTTATTTTCACTTAATTTGGCAGTTCATAAGAATTATCTTATTTTGGTGGGTTTTTTTTTAATTTTTTTTTAACGTATTAATTTAAATGAAATTCAGAAATAATCTTATGGAAGATTTCTGGAGACATGCTAAAAATTTAAATCTTATTTCTTGTCTTCAGCTGAAAAAAAAACATTCTTGTGTTTAATAACACATTTTAACAAAATTAGTCAAAATGTATTATAAACATTTTGCAATATGTAAACATTCTGATCATTTTACAAGCTAATTTTTGTCAAAATAAGTATGGAGGCTGTTAATGAAAATGTCAGACAGAAATTATATTGGATCTTGAAGTGTTTTTCAACTTTTGATTCATAATTAATATGTTGGGGCCTTAAGAGCTGATTTGAAGGGGAGGTACAGGCCAAATGTGTTATCAAATTTATATCATAGAAAATGTGTTCAAGGAAAATAATCCATTGCACTACCTAGTGAGTAATGAGCCTGGGTTGACGTTAGTTTGACATTTGTTTCATTTTTTTAAATAATGTTTTTAGCTCTCTGTGATGACAATGGAACACTGTGTTCTTAATGATTAATATAGCTGTCTTGATCTCTGCTTTTCTTCAAACAGTAGTATAGTCTGTTATATACCATCATATAATAAGGAAAAAATTGTTCCTTATTTGAAAAATAAACATAGTTTTTAGGTGTGGGACCTTTTACTAATTGTAAAATTTAGGGAATTTCATTTGTTTATAGAGAAAGATGTTCTTAAGGTCCAGTAGATCACCTAATACATTGTTTCTACAATTCAGGGCAGTTTTCTACCTGAATGTCTTAAATATTTAATGAGAACTACTATTCAGCAAGGTAAGAATGCTATCTTGCTTGCTTACTTTGACAAACTACTCTTCTGCTTTGAACACTTTGTTATTTAAAACTTTCCCTATGCAAGCATTAAGTTTTCATTTCTTACTTGGTTTAATCATTAATCAACTTTATTATGCCTCTGATACTTGCCCTTGTTTTATGCACAATTGAACTTTGGACTTTGAAAAGAAAGCAAAACAATTCACATTCAAATAGTTCTTTTTTTTTTCCCCCGTAGGTTGTGACCTGATAATCTGCAATATCAGAGTAGAGATTAAAGACTTTGTAAGTGAATATTTTTTATTTATTTCTTTACGTAAGATGCAATTGAGAGTTATGATAAACAGAAATAATCTCTTTTGAAAAAATAAATTATTTTTTTCATCACCAAGTTGCAATGAAGCACTTATCCTTGAGTAAAATATATGCCACAGTAGAACTACTGTCTCTTTAAAAAAAAAAAGAAAAGAAACTTAAGCAGATGACAGAAGTTAACGAGACAGAACCAACTGCTGATTTTGCCATTTTGGCTATCACAAAAAAAAAAAAAAAGTAATATTCAAAGTTGTGTGCAATATTTAAATTACATGCAAAGGAAATTACTGAAAGCTAAAATTATGTGACTTCACTTATGTACCATATATCTGAGTTCCTTTATTAAGTGTTGCTTGCAAATTTCTCAGTGAATCCTTTAAATGTGATAATTATAATTAGAAAAATTTAGTTGTTCTATAAGTTAGTTTTATCTACAGTGGTTCACTATCCTTAATTGTTTGTGTCCATAGTTTATTACTATAAAAATTTTAATCATTCAATTAAGAAAATGTGCAAGAGCAGAAGACATTTTCTTACCCTGCTGGAGTAAGATTCTCCTGCTAAGTCAAACATCCTCTACCATATTAATATCAGGCTTCTGGGACCTACACATTTGCACTCTCAGTCAGGTCTCTGTAAAGAAAAGAGTCCCACTGGTTGCAATTTTATGGTGGTCTGAAGAAAGAATTGCTCTCAGAGGCAGAATCCCCTTCAGAATCTGAGCACAGAAGCAGTATCACTGTAGTGCAAGATAATGCTGTCCTTTCTCCTTGCCTGCTTTCCTCCAAAATGAGTTTTCTCTATATTGGCCCTGTGGGATTTTCCAGGTGATCTTCACATTCAGTGATCTGATGTGAGTGTGCCCAGGTGCTTTTCAGGAGGAAAGCTCAAGATGGAAAAATACAAGTTCCTGCTCCTTCTGTGATTTTATCTTCTTGAGAGTTGAATACGTTTTTTCAATTACCTTTGGCAACTGCAAGTGAATACAGGTTCTTATTACCTAATACCAGCACAAAAAAAACACTAATGTTTGCTTTTACCATATTCGTACAACTATGGAACTCAAAACGGTGCTGTTGTGGAAGAACTGAGTATTTTTATTCTTAATTAGAGAATTTAGATCCTGAACCTACAAGTTCTTTATTTGAGCATTTAATTTCAATACTGATCCTCAGTCTACAACAGCTCTCTCCTTCACAGGGATCTCTCAGATATATAAACACATTGACAGCAGTCTTCTCTCACAATCCATATACCCTAACTATTGTACCGTCTGGGATGGATTTAAGTGTTTTCATAGTTACTTGAGTGGTGCTGCATTGTAAATTTGTGACCAAAATAATGCTGATAATACACCGACATTTTAGCCATTGCTGAACAGTTTTTTACACAGTTAAGTCCTTCTCTGTTTCTCACTCTCCCTCTCTGCCAGCAAATAAACTAGGAGTTTTCAAGAGGCTGGGAGGGGACATAGCTGGGACAGCAGTCCCAAAGGCATATTCAATACCATATAATATCACATGTTTTAAAATTTCAGGGAAAAGCACAGGTGGGGATGAGAGGGTGAATTTTTCAAAGAGCAGCCATTGCTTGGAAACTGGCTGGACATTGATCCACTGGGAGTAGGTGACAAGTAATTACTTCTGCATCACTTGTGTTTTGGTTTTCTGTTATTCTTCACTTTTATTTGTTAGGCTGTTTTTATCTCAGTGAGTTTTCCTCACTTCTGTCCCTTCTGTTTTCTCCTCTGTACATCTGACTGTGGGAACGGTAAGCAAGCAAATGTGTGAGAGCTTAGCTGCCACCACTTATGCATTGATATGCTCTTGGTTTGCTGAATACTTGTTCATTTGCTTTTGATAGTCATTCAGTAAGAAGATTTCCTTCTCCTGTATGCCAGGCAAAGAAACAAGAAAGTGAAGTTTGCAATGCCTGTTTGAAAACATTGCCAAAAGGTCACAGAATCATTATTATTCCAGTCAATATCTTAAACATTAGAATTTGAAATGAAAGAAGTTAAATCTTTCCTTTGACCTTTCTTTTGCAAAATATGTTTGAAGCCTGGGGCTTGTATCATTTATGAAGATGGATCCTATGCTTAGCTGTTGGCCTAAGAAGAAGTTAGTTCTTGGTGCAAAGAATGATTTCATACCTCTCTGAAGAATCTTGCAGTCACAGCAGCTGTGAAACCCCAAAGAAGTACAGCAGTCTTTAGGGCAAGATATTTCTAGTTGAATATTATTATTTAGATGAAGAGCTTTCCTTTTAAATCTTTTAAATTTAC